AGCATGCTGGCCGCGAGTCGGACCTCGTAGGGGGAACGACACCTCTTGCGTACCCATCCATACCAAGTGGGTTATCTATCAACAGACAATACCATACCATCCCTATGTCACTGGAGTATCGCTAACAGGTCTTTTACGAGCGCCAAATCTGAGACGAGAGCTTCCAGATCTCTCCGAGAATTAGTTGTCCGCTTGAAGCACACTGAGGCGTTCAAGGCTCCGATAGAGTTCCATATTCTATTACCTCGAGGAGTCGATAAACACAGGGAAGGTATGGTTCATATCGCAGCTGTCTCTACCGTTCATGTTCTGTTCGACTATCAGCTTTCCGATGGTTTTATGTTTACGTTCGATTCACGCACCTGTTCGCGGATGGGTTTTGTGTGGCACCCATGGCTAGAGAGCTGGATCTGGTCTTCAAGCGAGCTACACGAGGGGAGGTATGAGGCATCTATAATGGTGATGATGTATTAATCGATTGACCAGGAGCCTCCACCTAGTGTATGCTGCTTCCCGACACTAGAGGCGCGTCTTTTCGGTGCCATCCAGGGAAGCGAGAGATTCATCCGTCTCAGGCAGGCAATGGAAATCCGGCGACCAAGTGGTGATAACCGAACTCGTAATATAATCAGCTCGCTAACTCAACATACCATACCAAACCATCAGGCACTTTATGGCTGAGCAAGGGGACGACTCGTGGCCTAGCCGCTATCGCCAAGGAGCTTGGAGTCCCAACGGAGGTTGTCATATTAGCAGTTGTTTTGATAAGCCTCGGACGTTCACTGGAGTGGGACTGCATACCGTTGAGCCTTATGCGAACCAACCGAGACGAGACTGCAGTAAAAGAGATTGAATACGGAAGGTGGATCAGATTCATCATGAGACTCCTCCTTCGTTCAGGAACAATCACATATGTTTGGCTTCTTCGCCGAATACGCAGACCTCGGTTTGATACCTTGTGACTCCAACGCCTCACTCTTCGGCGTGATTGCCCAGTTACAGGGTCGCATCCTGGAGAACGTCAATTACACAACTGGTTCTGGACTTTACTCCACGTCACTGGGAGATCGTCCGTGGACTCGAAAGTAAGTTCATTCACTCGTTCGGCAGTAGAACTTTTTTCAGATGTTTTCCTATAACCGTGAATTTAATAACCAGTCTTCCACAGATGGCAGATCTCTGTGTGCGACATGTATCTTCATACGATCGAATCGAGCGGAATGGTGAAGCTGATGGCCGAGGCATGCGGCCTATTCATCTGTATATCGAAGAATCACGATACGTGTACCTCAATGAGCGAATCGATCTCGGGTTGTGTCGTTGAGTTTCTTGTTTACTCAGGTCCACGAGCGATACAGATTGGGGCATTCGTATGATGCTTGACTGGGAGTGGTTTCCTTGTTCGTGGCTAGTCAACTATGCCGAGAAAAGTCTGCCTACCGTAATTCAGCAGCTCTTCGACCGGAAAGCACATCGCCAATGGGCAAATGAATATTTCCCTGGTAGGGAGTGAGTTCAATGAAAATGGTGCTTGTGAGTGATGTATGTTTCTCTGTTGTTTTCTGACGTTCCACTACTCTGTTGCTGTTGTGTTTCTGAGATCATGAAACACGCAGGCTGTGTGGATTTAATCTATGAACATTGGACGGCCGAAAGCAGTCGCAGACGCAATCACGGCTCTGCCGATTCCAAACAACTGGATTGGAGTGGGAGCTCAATTGAATCAAGTAAACTCATGGATGAGATAGTTGTGGCACAGTCTCTCAGATACAGTTTGTTAATCGCTATCTGCGACGTCATTTCCGGGAAGGTCCCGAGAACCTCAGTGAGACCTCTCTGCGATGTATCGGCATAAGCCCCACAGCTCAAGCTATACGCGTGGGGAAGACACCTTTGGAACCGAGTACTTAATTCTGCTGTCAGGCCCCTGCCAGAGTAAATTGCAAGCTGGTTGATTCACATAGTGCAACCTTGTTGGGTGTGACACCGATGAGAGATCTCCAATACCATACACGGGATGAAGTCCAGAAGGTGAGTGTCTAATAATTTATTAGGTATACTCAACTAACTGCGTCTCCGTTGTAGGCTTTGGGTCACGGTTCGATCCCAGGAACGAATGATCCATCGCTGAGGATATACCATTTGCTCCCAATAACTTTTCCAGCACATGAATCAGTAAGCCCTTCTAAAATCATAATGTGATGTGTGGCATGCTGTTCTGTTCAAGCTGTGGACCTCACCCGATCCTTTGGTCACTGATGTGATCAAAGTATCGCGATCGACGGAGCCTCATCGACTTGGAACTCTCATATACAATCGTTGCAGAGATGGCGAGGAAGATATCACCGTTGTCGCTAGAGGTGACATAGCGCTCGCTATGGCTGTCAGGTATTGGAGCTGCGCGATTTGGGTATAAGTCGGAACTCTTCAATGTTGCTTCAGATCCATCGCCAAAGCGGCTGCGAAGCTGGTATCGTTTGAAGCAAAACGGCTTGTGGCGATACCTGTATCGCTCAAACCGAAATCTTTCCGAGAACTGCAGATTTCAATTCGATGTATAGAACTTCCTCCAACCTCAACCAAGTTGAAGGAGGGGCTTCTCAGCGCAGGAGAGAATATTTCTGACGTTGCAACTCGAAGTTCATGATATGTGCGGAGTGTGTTTCTGATTACCCTTATTTGCTTGGTTCTGTAGTAGCATGGTATATTCACAAAATTTTTATACCAATGCCAAGCGTGGATTGTTCAGACTATGTCTCACCTCCCTGAATTCTCAGTGGAACGAACCCCCCAGTTCCCTAATGTAACCCCCTCTGATTGGAAAGCAAGACTTGATCGAATCTCTGCACAGAAATCAATGTCTTTCTACCTCCCCCCAAGTATTGCTCCAATCTTTCGAGAAATGCGGTCGGTCGGTCGGATGCCATTTCAATGAGAATATCAGGCTAGGATGATTACATGACGAGCGATACAATTAAACACCTCGTGTTCGAGGCATGAGCTCGGGGACCTATGAAATGGGCACCAATGCCCAAAATCAAGCCGGTGATACAGAGAAACAGCATTTTCCCACATGGTGGTGCCAAAATGAGTACCGTGACACGAAAAATACGAAGCCCTTACAGTGTTGTACAGTTCACGCTCGCAAAGTTCTCCTTCGCTTGGTCGATGCCGATGCTTCCCGTGACGCCTTACTGCACGCAATGCCTTGGCGGCGCAAGAGCTCTGCCCTGTGAAGAACACCAGTTACAGAGAGTTGACATCGAGTACGGCCCATACAGCTGTTGGAGCTCTTGACTCTGCTGTACAATGGCTTGCCGCAATCTCTCGACATGTGTCTTCACCCGATCATACTTCTTCTGGATCTGCTGGGATTGCACACGAGCCTGATGAGTTACATCGACACAAACCGATCAATCAGGCACGCCTACTTCCTCCGCTCTCTTGGTGTATTCTCTTGACGCTTCCGAGATCTTCGCTTGTGCAACTGGATATGTGACATCCCTATGAGTACCTTCGTAGTGGATGCTACCACTACGTTTTCTTGGTATCATTGTTTTGCTGGCCTCTACACGAATCTGTTCGGAGCGGAACTCGAAGGTTTCGAGTAGGGTGTGTGCCAGTGTCATAGGGGAGTGGCCCAACAAAGGGTTCCGCGTAACGACCTAAATGCTGACTCCAACGCACACTCGGTAGCTCGTACTGGCGCGTGAACATCAATTGGCAAGGACAATGAGTCAAAGCTAGTGGCGACACC